CTCGTCTCCTTCTGCACTCTCTCCCTCTCTCTCCCTCCCTCCCTCCCTCCCTCCCTCTCTCTCTCTCTCTATTACTATTTTTATTTCTATTCTCACTTATTCTCACTAGTATTAGTACTGGAAAGGTTACTACTTACTGTTGTTACTATTGGTTCTCTGTCTCTGTGTCTGTGGGTCTGTCTTTCTGTGTGTGAAGTGACGGGCAGTACTTCTCAGGCGTCAGGGTTGCCGCAAGATTCGGGACCCTAAACCCTAAACCCCAATAGTATTTAGGGCAAGGCATACTGCAATCTCACCCATGATGATGGGGTGGGTGGGTGGGGGGGTTTAGGGGTTATATAGGGATAGGGAATCTTTTCTATTGGGGTTCTATGGGTGTAATGGAGAAGAAAATTTCAACTACCATTTTGGGTTATGACTGGGGTTTGGGGCTCAGTGTTCCAGCAATCTGGCAACTCGATTCCTCTGATTTTGGATACGCCCTAGTCAGTGGGTGCACCTCCGCAGCCATTGCATGGCGAACAGGGTGCCGAAAATTCAACGAATTCAGCTCAAGAGGTGTAGCACCTGGGACTGCAATAACCAAAACGTCAAGTACCGTATGGACACGATAGTCTTATCCAACTTGGAAAGCCAGTGGCGTGGGCTGACTCTAGCAGGGATTAGACTCCTGTCCCAAATCCAGAGGTATGCTTGGGTTGGCCAGCGCGCCGTGTCCTACCCCACGAATTTGTCAAAAGAAGGCATGGGTCAGAGTCTGAAACCTGGGGGGTCTCGGGGATTCATGATTTATTGTGGTGCCTTCTAGGGCCTGAAGCTTTCCGAGCAAAACGGAGCCAAGGCAGCGATAAAGACATATCCAACTTCCAGTGACCCACTTGGTCGCAAACACTTCCAGCAGAATGCTATGCAGGATAGCAGCATCTTCGGCAATGGGCGGGCATAGATTGCCAGCAGGCATTCGCAAGGCATTGCGATGGCATGCACTGCAAAGTTCAAGCATGTGCGCACGGCATGCTGATCCCAAACAGACTGAAACCAGGCTCCAAGTCGTTCCCTTGAGGTTTTTCAGGGCTGATTTGAACGCAGGGTTTGTTCCCTTCCCTTTCCGCAAGAAAGAGGGCCCCGGCCCAAGCAAACACCAAACATCACAGCTGGCCGAATCTTCCGGTTTCCGGCTCCAGGCGTGATAGACTGCGAAGGACCCAGAGTGGTAAGTTCAAGAACAGGCAGCGGCCACCAAGCTCAGATGGGACGGCGCTGCGAACGCACCGTGTCATGACGAGTTGCTGTCACAGGTCCATAGGCCTCAACGCCATCCATTTCCGCAGATCACTATGCCATCCGATCATCATCGCAAGGTGCTTGAACTCGAAGCAGTCAAAATTGGTGTTGTCTGTCTCAAGACTAGGTTCAATATCTTCCATGCCCCACCAGTAGTGGCTGCAAACCCTGACACAGCCTTGCTGTGACCGATTACTTGAGGCTCACGAGAAGGATTTTTGCGATGAACATGTTGCGTGGAAGATGCAACTTGGGCAACTTCCACTGGGTAATTCTTTCCAGGCCACGTATAGTGCATAGTTGTGCAAGAAACCTTGGGCCAAGTTCCTTCAAATTTCAGGGGTACCGCTTCTTTTGAAGGGAGACAGGCATGCACTGGCGCCCCTTTTCCGCATGCGACCAGCGTCTAATCATAATCGGAGAATTTGCGAGGAGATTATAACCATACTTTCAGTCATTGCTGAGGTGTCTGTGCCTTCAGACCAGCCATCGCGATCGTTGTCGTTGCTGCGTTGTTTTTTCTGTTCACCATTATGGCTCTTCTTACTCATATGATTGGTGGTATAACTGTTGAAGGTTCAGGGTGCGTAGGGGCCCTTTGTGCGAAACAACCATAAGAGAGTCTTCAGTAGCTGAAGGTCCACGAGCATTCTGGGAACCAGAGCTCGGAAAGAGCTTGCAGAAACGACTTCCTATCCCGCCCTAGGTTTGAGAGGTATTATAGTATGTAGTCCCCCTTACGTAGATAGGATATTGCTTTGGATATATGAAAATAAGATCCTCATATACCCCATATTCTATCTACTTAAGGGGACTGTAGCAAGTGCCTGTCAGTCGTCAGTGAAGGCTCTGGAATGAATCAGGGTTGAAAACCAAACTCCTAGTATCCCCTTAATCATCCCTATAGTAGTCCCCTATATAACCCCCAATATTAACCCCAGTTTAGACCAAAGCTCACACGGACCCCAAATGTCCATGTTGACTGCTGCGGTTCGGGGTTATCCAGGTCTGATGGCACAGGGAGCCGCCGAGACGATCTAGAAGTTGGAGATTCTGCTGGCCGCTTGTGGGTGTACCTAAACCGTGCTTGTGCTTTCTGGACTCAGTCCTGGATTGAAAAAACGGGGCACGGCATATGGGATCTTTCAGGTTTGATATGAGAGATACTTACAGTGATCCATTCCCTCATTCACCGCGAGGCACCAGGTTCGTCAACCCCTAACAACCTACAGTAATAGTTTCATGGTTTTTTTCACTCCTCCCTCTCATAACCCTCTAGGTAAACCTCTGTCTCTCTTGCCTTCCGGAAGGATGTCCTGTGCTCCTTGCGGCTCCAGGTATTTGGGATCCGTCTATGTGCTCTGTCTCAAAATCAGGGGTAGCCCTTTGAGGTCTCTATGATTGGCTATTTGGGGTCTTTATTGGGGTCCCCTTATTCATGGCGCTAGTATGTAATGCTGACACGGCAACACTGCACTTGACACTCAATTACAGGCTACAGGCCTTGCAAATGATTCACGTCAGGGGTTTGCCCTCACATGAACCCCAACGTGCGCAAAATACCCAGAACACACAACATCGGAAGACAGAGAAGATGTAACCTAAGTTGCATGCCCTACATATTTGTTTTCACAGTGTTAAGCATTCATCAGCTGGGCCGCAGAATTCGCCACACCGTGCATCTGCGGCAAAATCTTGGAGAAAAAAGCGATGAACCCGGCCAAGTTGCGCGAGCAACTGTTGTTTGGGCTTTAGGCTGAATGGTTCAGGGTGTAACTGACCTCTGCAAGTTTGGTTGCCCGAAGGCCTATCTCGCAAGCTTGACAGCTGCATAGACATGTGCCGACACGAAGGTATGCTGAAGAGTATTTCACCACTGACACCGAGACTTTAAAAGTTGGTGAGACCCAGCAGCCTCTCAGAGAGACTTGCCTTCAAATCCTGGACCAGGTGGTGCCATTCATATAGTTTATCGGGAATCCAGTGGGGTTTTCAGTTGTGTGTATGGCCTGGGGGGATCGGGGTCTTGGCTACTTATTAAAGCAAAGGCCTGCGTGGGATCTTCGAGTAGAGTCCTCTCATTATAAGGGCCCAAAAGGAATCATGGTTGTCACGTTTCCCCCACAGCGAGGGCAGAAACAGACCACAACGCACTCCGGTCCAGAGCCCACAACCCAGGCCCTGGATTGGCACTTGTAGATTGAACCTTTAGGGTTTAGGGTCTAAATGCTGTTCCAACACATGAAGCTGGAAGCTCTGACCTGAAGCTCTGAATCCACAGAACAAGATCCAAATCCTGAACCACACAAGTGGAAGACCCGAGGCAAACCAAAAAAATGACAACTCGACCCAGTTAGCAAGCAGCGCCGCTTCCTTTGCTCAGTGCTTTCCCTGCGAGCCATCCGACAGGCAGCCGGTCTCGCCCTTGAGGCACCTCCCAAGGTTAGCACTCAACAGACAAAGTCTTATAGTCACTCTAAGGTAGATAGAATATGGGGTATATGAGGATCTTATCATAATATACCCAAAACCATATTCTATCTACTTAAGGGGGGCTATATCCAGAAATCTGAAGGGTTGTAGAAGGGTCTAGAGTCTATGGAACTTGATTTAGAGCCTGGGATCTCGGGCCCATTGTTTTCCTTAAGTAATGGAAAATGGGGTATGTAGCACGTGATGTGCAGTACCCGTTGTGGGCTTCCCCCTCTTTCCATCAGTCAAGTAGGTCCCCTCAACTGGCCACTGATCTCTTGGACGCGCCAAAACGAAATCGGCTTTACGCGGATTCGCGGAATCATGTGTGTGAGAGTTGCCAGGACCATAGTCCATTAATTATATGGCTCATTGTAGAGTATACTTCTGGACAACCCAGTTAAGCATCTGCGGAACCGTGTTGACAATTGCAAAAATCCTGATGCCCTTGACAACCGCTTCACACTCAATTTCCCAATAATGCTGGAAATTCCTTATTTGAGCTGTCAGGGCTTACCGCTAAAGCCTGAGTTGATACTAACAAGCACAAACATGGCAGCGGGCAAACATGATCAGCACAAGTACAAGCAAGTTATTAGCAATGTAACCACCAGCAATGTCTAGTAGCTGACGTGGCAGTTGCAGCCACAGCAAAAGGCAGTGGCGGCAGCAGCAACAGAGATAAAAAGCAGCCCTAATGGCAGGCGTGATGACAGCTTCCGCCATGTTTGAGGGTCTTCAACTGCCTCCAGGCTTGTCAAGCGCTTTGCAGGAGCTGGCTGTGATGGCGGCAGTAGCACCATTGTTGCTAGTAGGGGTGGTGGTGCAGTAGACGCTGCTGCTGTTGCTGTCGTGGCTATGGGAGCTGTTGCCGCTGCTGTTGCTATGGTTGTACTCGTAGGTGTGGTTGTCGTCTTCTTGTCGTGGTTGACGTTGCTGCTGCCGCGGTGTCGGCGGAGGCAGCGGCCATGTTGGCGGCAGCAGCCGCGGTCGTGGTAATGATTGTCGCCGCCCAAGAGAAAGCCAGTTGTTCACGGAGAGGACAGTTCCAGCAGTGCTCTTGAACTGCAACTTATTTCTAGACTGGCGTCATCACGGGGTCTGGGTTACAAAAGCTCTGAACAGGCCCTTAGCATTCTTCCAGGAAGTCTTCATAAGCCTACCATTGTGCCACATCCTCTTGTAGCGTGGACCTTGAAACTCTCAGCACTCCAGGAAACTCTCTACTCCAGCCCCTATGGCACCTCTCGGCGCACTCCTTGACGTTGGCAGCCTGATGCACTGTGGGGCTGCCCATTAAATGAATCTCCGCATCGCAAAATTGGGTGTCATTCTTGTACTTGCACGGCTTCTTGAACAGCTAGTCCTTTTAGAACAATTACGCAAATCATTTCCATGCGATGCGCATGTCTGACACTTTGTCGGGTGCCAATTGCAATTAGTACGCGCAACGCTTAAACCCAGCTGGATTTAAAAGATCTGGGTTTTGAGGTGTCGCCTTGTTGTTGTTTCTGGCCCCTTAATTAACAGCCTAGCTCTAACTTAGGGCTTTGTGCAGGCTGCGGACGGAACTCATTGGGGACGGGCCGGCTTGTGTTTGGATAATTTTGGGTTTCATGACTGTTAGTTTTAGAACCACGGCCTTTCCTGAGACTCATATGGAGGGTTGTAGGGGGTGGGTGGCAGGAGGTATTAGGCGAAGTGAGCAGGCAGCGCCATGCTCCCTAAGATGAAGTCCACGCTCCCCAAGATGAAGTCATTCGAAGGCTTGGAAATGAAGACTGGTTGAAGCGAAAGGCAACAGCTTCCACAGAAGAACTCAACAAGGGCTAGTACGAACCTGACATGGTTCGTCGAGCAGCAAAAAAGGTGGCGGAGGCACATAGGAAGCACTTACCTCTTGACAATCGTGGATATCCTTGTTTCCAGTAAACGGCTCTGCTGACGGGGGTATCAGGCGTATCCAAGGAAACATATAAGCAGACCACTGGATTTCATTAGGCTTTGTTGCAGGCTCCTTTGGCCTGATTAGCTACACATGGGCCCTAAACCCACAAAACAGGTAAGGCCGCAGACTGTAGCCAAGGGACAGTGAAGCCGAACTTCTCCAGGCAGGTGCCACCCGGCGCAGAGGCGCCGAAGACGTTGATGCCCACCTAACAAAACTGGGTTGCTCTTAAGGAACTTAAACTAAGTTACCATAACATGGCCATGTCGTTAATAATAGGGTCTGCTCATGATAGCAGCTTCACTTAAGTTCCCTTACAGCAACCCAGAAATGGGTCCGGTTCCAGCGTACTTGGAATTTCAGCTCAAGACACTGCAGATTACAGATCCTGATCACTGCAAGCAACCTGCGCGGTGGAGAACTCCTCCCAGCCGGTGGTGCACGCCGCCTGCCAAAGCAAGGATGAAGACTCTCATTGTTACAATTACTATTCTTACTGTTGTTACTACTATTGTTGCTACTATTACTACTATTGCTATGAGGCAATAATTAGAATTTGTAAATATTTGAGGCTAGCTTACAATTTGAGCTGCGAGCTCACTGCATAACATCGTCTCCTTCATATCGTCTGCTGCCACAATGCAAAGGGATTCGGGTAGGTTGGGCCACGCCAAATTGTTTCTATCATCGGAAACTTCTACATCGCCATACGTGGGACTAGGCTCTGCGAATCTCTGACCTGGCTGACAGTCGCTTACAAGGGTGGTTTCCCAAAATTAGGGTACCATTTTGGGGTTCCCATAGTAGGCAGAGGAGTATATTGGTGCCTAGATTGGGCTCGCCAAATTTTGGGAAGCTACTACAAAGATCAAAGTAAAGATCACCTTGAAGTCTGTACAGGCCAGGGACATTGGACTTTCCCAAATTGAATTCCACTGCCGCACAAGTAGAAAAACAAGCTCAAATACATGTGTGCGTACATATATATTATGTATATCTCTACACATACCCGCTTACATCCAAACAAACAGAATGCATTAACTGTGTGTGTGTGCATATGTATATATATATATACATATAGACACGAATACAATATGCACGGCATAATGTTTCCATGCCCAGGTGTTGGTGTTGAAACGGACGTGGGTAGTGCTCAACTCCACAAGGCAAGCACGGGACTCCAGCTCCGACTTCTCGGCTTTCTGGTGCTTAGGGGTTTAGGGTTTTCAGGGCTTAGGGTTTAAGAATGGAAAATCAAATGGAAAAGAACACGGAAAATTACATGGATATTTGGATTATATCATGGGGGTTAGGGTTTTCCCAAAGTTAGGGGTACCTTATTTGGGGCCTATAATAAGGATTATAATATATGGAGGGTCTGTATTGGGGTGCCCCCATTAATTATGGAAACTATCATGTCAGGCAATATTAATAACTGTAATATCTATCCTACTTGAAACCACATCCATAGCTACCTAGAGAAAACACCAACACCAAGTAGACCAAATGACAAGATGTCCGACCTCAACACTGAGAGCCGGCACGCCCTTGGGGAGGAGAGAGTCCTTCAAATTGATGAGCCATGGCGTTCAAGGAGTTAGGGCTTCAGGGTTTGGATTGTTCTGGTTAACAGTTCTGAGGTTGAGGTCTCGGTTTGAAGGCTTCCAGGGTTAGAGTTGTTGCATTGAACCCTTTGGAGCTTGCAGCTGTGCTCCAAGTGGTGGTGGGGAATCACCGAAGTGTTGGAGCCTGAAGTCTATACTGAGTCTATAACAGCAGTGCTGTGCAGCGACCCGCAACAAGCTTGGTCACGGCTCTCCTAGTAAGGCTCACTCCCCAGTGAAGGCACCCAGGCCTCAGCTGCCCCCCTCGCATCTTCTTTGTCTAAATTGGGCCACACGGATTCTGTTGTGTGATGCTTGCAGTTCTGAATGGGAGGTTTCACCAGATTTTCCAGCCCGCCCGTAAGACACACGCCTCTGGAGTCATGCCTCAGCGGTCCTTGTAGCTATCAGACTGCGCGCGGAAGACCTCCACGGAGGGCATCGACACGACACGCACCTGGAACAGGCCGTAAAATAGTTGGAGTCCAGCTGTAGCTCATAACCCCCACGTGCCTCATCTGAGGATTCCGTTTGGGAGTTTTAGGGCAGATGCCCAGTGCCAGCATGCTGTAATAAACCTCCCAATTAGTATGTAGCAATCCTGGGTTCCGAATCGGACTTCCAGAGTCTAAGAGACCAGCTTGGCCTGTTCCCCAAGAATCGCCTTGAAATAGTCATGCATCCAGTTCCAGGTCATGTTGAGCACCCCACTCTTCCAAAAGGTGCTTTTTTCTGTCTTTTTTTTACAACCCCTCGGACTTTTGGTGTCTGCCCAGCTCGGCACGGGGTTCTTGCCCCTACTGCGGGGATTTAGGGTCTTGGGAAAATGCCGATACTTTCATTGGCCACGCAGAAGGTGCCTTCTGGTCCATGTCCTTGGCCGCATCGATGCAAACATGCACCTGCACGTCACTTGACGCTGTACAATACAAGACTCCAGATTGATTTCAGGCTTGAGATTGCAAAGATGAAATCTTCTGGGCCCCAATGTGCGCCCTGGATGCTTGGGACCCTGATTGCTACGGAATGGGACTGCAGACTACGAAGCTGAACTGCAGCCAGCCAGGTAGACATGCAAGTAAGGTTACAACAGTTCATACAAGTCTGTGCCTTTGCAAAATCACCCACCCTTTTCGTGTGAACACATTTTCTTGCTGTGCTATTGCGCACATGCCCACTTAATGAGGCAGTTCAAACAACGCGGGTTGAACATGCTCAGCAGTGATCCTCAGTACCCTAAGCCCTAAGCTCTTGCAGCTGCACGCTTGACGGTGATAAAACCCCAAATCCGTCAAGTCCCTCGGCCCTACATGTCTAGACTGACATGTCAATGCGAAAGCCACGTAAGGGCTATATAAAGCTATATTATGAAGCGTGGGGGCCGTACCCAATGTATACCCTTGTATAATCCTTTTTCAATTACATCTCTGTCCGTCCCTCTCGCGCCTCTGAGCCCGTACCGATGATGATGACCTCTGGGTCGGCGCACTCCACCACCTCATAGGCACCTGCTCAGAGTTTCTGATGGGTGACAATAAGATTTTTGCTTCTGGCTGCAGTTGTAGCTGTTGCTTGTAGATGTAATTGAGAGTGGTAGTAGCAGGAACAGAAGCAGTAGCACTAGCAGTTGGGAGTGGGGAGGAGCCATGGTAAATGCTTAGAGGGGCTTTGGTGGGTGCATCGGTCTTTCCGTCAGACATTCTTCGTCCCTTTCCTTGAGAAGCCAATCGCGGATTTCAAAAGGATATATCTTACCGTAGTACACATATTCAGAATACCACTTGACTGCTCCTTTGCTGTTTAGTCTCTGAGAGAGAGCCTTTGCCTACAAGCCAAACGAAGGGTGCTTACCTGGGTCATGAGCAATACAAAACACCGCCTCAGAACCGCTGTAATGCTACAATCTGATGTCGATGTGAATCTCCATGACAGAAGGGAGAGAGCTGAGCCGCTTGCCCTTCAGGGTGTTCTCGATGGAGGAATTGGGAAGGTTTGGCAGCGCCTCGCGGAGCTCACAACTGTGGGGTTGGTGACTTCAAGAACTTGAGGGTCTAGGGCTTGAGTCTTCTTACAGACGTGGCCATGGCTGTTCTGGATTGTGTATGATGGGACTAACTTTGGTTGCAACTGCTATCCATGACTAATCCTGTGCAGGTCCATTTAGGTGCCATACTTGGGGGTTTCCCAAAATTAGGGGTGCCATCATGTGGGGGTCCCTATATTAAGGAATATGGTATTTTAGAGTCTACTTGGGGGTCCCCTTCTTTTGTGAAGCTACCACTTCAGCAAGCAGAAACTCTGGGCCTGCCGGGAAAAGGCCATCATGGTAGGCCGCGACTCGTTCTTGGAGCGCTCAACGGCATACCTTGTTGCCAAAAGTGCAACTGAAGCTTATAGTCCCGCTTAAGCAGATAGAATATGGCTTTGGGTAATACCCCATATTCCATCTACTTAATGTGGCACCCCTTTTAATGATGGGGGGTCCCCCCCCCTCCCCCCTCCACCCGCCTCCCCCTGAACAATTACCATGCCTGATTAATGCAGCGGCCTCCCCTAAATTTGCCGCGCAATTAAAGTCAGATGGGCCCCTAGAATCTATCTAAGTAATCTTAGTGGAAGCTTTTGAGCAATTTAG